GAGGTTTGGACAAAAGTTAATCGTGCAGTTGCCAGGTAAATACGTCAAAGATGCACATCTGAAAACTGGTGGACCCCACCGTATAAAAGGAGTGGCACAGTCACGAGCAAAACTCTTCACAATCATTGAAGTCAATGATATTCTTGTGGCACATGTGCAACATAATTATTTGCCCCGCTTCCCTCATTATATGCTTATAATATACTTCATACAGGTAAAATTAAAGGGCACTCTCGAATGTTGTATGACCTCAGAAAAAGGGACCCCTCTGAAATTGACATCACCTAGGTTACCAGAGGTTTTACTGTACTGCCGCAGAAAGACTAGGGGTTGAGTGCAAAGAATAGATACCAGGAGTCTATATATACCCGTGATTGAATAGTTTTAAAACAACAATTATACCTTTTCCACTGTGATGGGGTACACCATCTTCGCTCCAGGCCTGATGGGCCAGTTCCACTTCCCCCAGTTCCTTCAGTGCATGAGATAGTTTCTCCCAGGATGGCTGTAGTTTGAAAATCCAGATCTCCACACAGTGCTGCAGACAGCCCTCATCCATGTCGTTGTTGGTGTCTATCTCATCAATCAGATCCTCATCAAACTCCAGACCCTCTGCTATCTCCTTCCAACGACCTCTCACACCCCACAACAGTGACATCACTGACTCCACTGTGGGGGGTCCTAGGGGAAGAGGAGACAGGTAATAACTGTAAGACAAGTAACGAGGCATTGCAGTCTTTCAACCTTTAGGTGTTGCCTTGCCTGCATTCTTCTTGTCCACATTCGTCTTGTCTGCATTAGGTAGTAAAACACAGCCTTACAATTACCTACATGGTACTATCACTACTAACCTCTGTTGCCACTGTCACTGGCAGGAGTAGTGGCGTGAGGTAGGACTGTGACGTAACACTGTGTCCTTGTGTCCATCTCCAAGGGTTTGGGTTGGTTGGTAGGAAGAGGTCCCAGGTCAGCATATTGAGAACGGGCCATTTTCTGAGGAAAGAGAGGATCATGACACGAGTCATGTGACTATCATGTGATCATCAGCTGACATGAGTAGTTCTGATGTCAATCTCCTGGTACTGGACTATGGAGTCCTCTGGGATAGGGGGTTGCACTCCTGATGTTGAGAGTTCCACATCAGTGTACATCCCTTTTTGTTTGGACATCTGTGGAGGAGTGCTAAAATTGATACCACGGTCCAACGAGCTCTTTAGACTGCGAGGGGGTTTGGCTTCTCCTTCAGCATGTCCATCCTTTTTCTGTTTGGTGCCACCATCATCTGACATCAGTCGAGAACCACTAGCATTACTGCATGACTCAAGGTCGTTAGTTTCACTCGGGGAAGGAGACCTGGGAACTACACCAGAGAAGCTGTAATCACCTTTGTTTCTGCAACACTGCAATAAGAGATATGAACATTTCTGATGGAAAATTAGTGACACACAAATTACCTTCTTCCACAAAATCAGTGTAACTACAACCAAGATGAGAAGAGTAGTGGCAATGATGATAAACGATGCAGTAGCTAACACTCCAATAGCAATTGTTGATGTGCTTCCATCTAGAAAACAGGACAACATTATCTTTGTAGGTATATGCACATCTATCCTGTTTATAGATGTGTACTGCAAGGATACAAGAACTACAAAACAATACCCTCAGCGCAAGGAATGCGGGCACATATTATATAGCATTATGGGTACAATATGCGTAGCAGTTAAGGTTTAACTTGTAGTCAGGCAGACAATCCAAGTACTGTAGCCCCCACTGTGCATGCACGCCGAGGGTTAAAAGAAATTACCATACTCCAAATGCAAGTCAAGGGCTAATTAGACATATATACCAGCGGGTGCTGTAATAGTTGGTGTGGTTGTCTCAGTAACATCCACTCTTCTTGCAATAATTGGTCTTTCATCAAAACTGAAACCATCCTTTCCAAATATAGCAAATGTGTAGTTCTTAAGATCGGCACCAACCGTCAGAGTCACAGGGAAGACAGTGTTCTGAGGATATTCCTCCACCACTAGTGTCTTGTTACCATACTCTCGATAGACCAGGACACATGAGGCTCCCTTTATACCTTCTTTGAACTTACAATTCACCGTCACTGTCACCCCATTCACGTAAACACTGCCATTGTTTATAAATTGAGATTCTGCATCAGCGATGGGATCTGCAATAGAAATTGGAATGAATGGTAAAATGTAAACAAATCAGCAGACACTCACCGTTACCCAGAACAGTGACAGTAGTGCTCTGTTCAACAGAAGGATGGCTGTTAGGCCGTCCATCTTCCTCAAGGTCATAGACAAACATATTGTACCTTGAAGATGAAATGTTACGAATAGTACTCTGTACATAAGTGCTGGAGTCATCAGGCAGTAGGAGGGCTCTGAATACATCAGAATTTCCACATTCACACTCTAAAACTACGAAAAACCCTTGAGCCGTCGTGCTTTCAATGAACTCTCCATTCAAAGTGATCTCATTACTGGTACTCTTGGTGGTGTCAGCGGCAGCACTCTGGACATCATATGTAGCTATAAACACATAATTATATCCAATCATTGCCTTTGCCACAATAGATAACAGCATATTATCCAGCATGATTGAACTAATTTTAATTGGGTCTGCATATGGATATACGCAAATGTAAGTAGCATTTCATGTGAATACAGAAAACTGTGGACCTACTACAGTACATGTAGTATTGGGCACAAAAGACACCCATTCTGACATATCCACTTAAGTGTTAGTAAGGCATTACTGCTGTTTGTCACAACACAAAAAATTACTGAAATTGATAGGTGGGGGGGTTACTCCATCAGTGGTAATAGGAAGGGACACCAGGAATGAGTATCTATTGTCAGCACGGAGTTGGTAGGTGACATCTGGTCCTTCTGTTGATGGTGGCATTTCAATGACACGATCATCATCAGCCACATCAGGAGTGACTCTCCAGCTACGTAGGCCACTGGTGTAATTACTCTATCACAAAAATAACAGACATTGAAACATTAGTATTGTGTATTGTACTTACTACTAACCGTAAACGTAACATTGGTCTTCTCTCTAGAGATAGCTCGGATGTGAGTCTTTATATGTGCTGACACTAGAAAGAGAACAGAATTGTTAGCTACAGAGTTAGTTGTCTATTCACGGGGAATGGCAGCAGATATGTTATGCGACAAGTCATATCAGCACTCGGTCTACACAAGTACTGGTGAAGTTCTGTGCCATTATTGCAAACATGGCATATCAATGTATCCAGCCGAACATGGAAAGTGCTCAAACAGGTGAAGTATTATACTGGGATGGGCATTTGCACAAGCACGCACGCACGCACGCACGCACGCACGCACGCACGCACGCACGCACGCACGCACGCACGCACGCACGCACGCACGCACGCACGCACGCACGCGCACACACACACACACACACACACACACACGCACACACACACACGCACACACACACACACACACACACACACGCACACACACACACGCGCACACACACATGTGATGTTGATATATACTACCAGCTATCAACACTGATGGACATTCTTTGTGTGCTATTGAATGGGATGTGCAAAAGTGTGGGTATGCAGAAATATAAGCAAAAACGCAGGCACACTACTGAAAAACAATGCATGCAGCATTAGGACATAAAAGAGTTGGTACGAAAAATGAAATTTACAGAAGCTAAAATAATTCCCACTATAACATATACTCACAGTTTAAAACATATCCAGTGATATTGGGACTGCTCTCTCCCTGGCCAACTCCATTGAGGGGGGTGACAGAGAATTTGTACACATGACTAGGACTGAGGTAGTCAGGAGTGAAGGTGTAGTTTGTCTCAGTGATATTGATACAGTCAGTACAGAGGATGGCTGTTGGGTTGTTCTCATCTGTCACATTGTAGATGAGGACAGAGTACCAGATATCAGGATCAACACCAGTCACATCCAGAGAGAATGGAGCACTCCACGAGATGGTCACTGAGCAGGTACTGCTAATAGCTCTCAGATCAGCCACTGCTGACAGGGTACCTGGATGAAATTTATATGAATTTTCAATTGAGACAGTGGATTACAATCATATTTAGAGAACAAATATTTACTAGTATATCCAGTTGCATGTGCGCGCAAGAACAAATAGTAGTCAATGAAAAATACATTTAAAAACACACAACAGTGATTCAAGGTCATACCATCCACCTGTGGAATTGATATTTCCCTAACTATCTGGCCACTAGGTTGTAGAACTGAGTATATGCTACTTGGAGTCCTTTTACCAAAAAATCATTACTATCCACCACTGAGTCAGTTTATGCCACATTGTATCCACATTTCCATGTGCATGTGTGTGCACAACTGATGAGGTGCCCACCTGAGTATACAATACCTTGTATCTTTGTACATGTCACATTGTATATTATAGAAGAAGACAGGCTCATGTACTAGTAGACCGAATGGCACAAGTGTTAATGTTATTGGTATATAGTGCAGTGGGAAGCAAAAGGTACTGTGTAAACAGACTACATGTATAATACCATAGAAAGGTATGTCATGTGAAGTGCAGACACCTGTACAAACAGTTTACACAAACACTTCCGGCACTCAGGTGAATGCGTGTGATAGAGGGTCTGATATAAAACGTCCAATTCTTGGTTGTGCTGAATCAGCATGTATAGAAAAGGGGTTCCCCAATCAGATTGCCGGATTTAAACTATCATGTGATATGAAGGTGATCTGCATTGCCGACCGATTCTGCGCATGTGCAGTGCAACAGAATTGGAGTGCTTGACCAGGTAATCACATGACTGACAGGTTGAATTAGGCGATTTACGCACACATGCTGATTCAGCACAACCAAGAAATTGGACGCGGTATACTAACGTGGTGTATGACCTTCACCCACCATACCAACTCATACACCATGGTGTGCACAATAACGACGAGCTTCTTCATGCGCAGCAACTTTGATCTCTGTGGCTTTTGCGCCACAATAGCCCATGTGGCAGCCATATAGCAAGATTGCAGACTTGCGAATATTGTTTTCAAAATCACACATGTAGCAAAGCAACTGAAATTCAATTTGTGTGTGTTGAGATCACCCGGAGCACTTAGTCTCCACCTAGGATCAACAAGATTTACACATTCTGAATAAATTCTATACCCCCTCAAATTGCTGGGACTGTTCCGCCAATAACAGGTATGTATACTAACCTTGAATTCTCAATGTGACATTAGCACTCTCATCGAATGGACCACCAAGTATCAGGACTAAACACGAAACTCTAGTTCCATTGTACTTAGCTCTGGCTGGGATGGTCAGGTTCTCCAGTCTAGTCCCTTCTGTGTTAGCACCAAAGATTTCCAAATCCATATCTATTGCAGGTGGAAGATCTTCCAGTATAGTTCCATTAACTTTCCAACTACGGATACTACCACGCGTCTCACATGTGAACACTGCTGACTGGTTTAGAAAGACGGTTTGGTTTCCAGGAGCATGTAGCACCTCTGGAAGGAAGAGTATAAGCAAGCGGTAAGAACACCGAAGCATAAGATTACACTAATTAGATATAGAGCCCTGGGAATTCTCAGTGAGCTGAGAGACCCTTGAGCTGTCTGCATCAATAGCATTATGTGTTACAGAAGGGAAAGCTCAACAGTTTCCATAAATAATGCTGATATTACTATGATATACAAGCTTTGTTACCTAGTGCTATCCAATTGCAAACTCTCACTCTTAGCACCGCATATGTAGCGAGGGTGGAAGTATAAGTTTACCTTGTGCACAACAGAGTCCAAGAATAAAAACAAAGAACACAGCTGCACCTCCACCTACACCTATTAATAGCAGTTGCTTGTGTTAAACAGACGTTACAACCCTCGGCATTCAGTGTAACAACTGTGTGTGTGTTTGTCTGTCTGTCTGTTACCACTTTTCCTGAACTAAAGGCCAAAAGAAGACAGGCAAAGCTGCAACATGGTCTAGGGACTCCAGAAACCAGCCCCAAGTATCACACATGTAGCAAAGCAACTGAAATTCAATTTGTGTGTTGCAACAACTGTGTCATGGTCTTTGCAAGTGTTCTCACAGCACTTCAGTTGCATAAAGTCGTCACTGAGCAAACCAACGCATCCACCATCGTAGAGCATCCCAAAAGACCACCACGTATTGCTTATGTTGCCAAGTGATAGCATTCCAAGGCCAAAACAGATAAATGTGATAGGCTCTGAGAAAACGACCCTAATCACGCACGTAGTATTGTTGTAGCTAGTAGCGGCGGTTTTACGGCGAACTATATTATACATAATTTACTGATTCCTGTTTTTCCCCGTATTCTAGTACCTCTGTCTATCGTCTATAATCTGCGCAAGTTTGACGCACTAACTTTGTTCCATTCCATAGTTATGGCCCTGGGTATCTGGCAAGTACCGTTACTCGTGCCGTCGTTACGCGGAATTACAAGGAAACGTAACACGGGAATAATGAAACCTTTTACGGAGTCACTTAAACGGGAATTCCGCTTTACTAGCAGCGTATCAATGAATGCGAATGCGGAAGAATGATGTAATGTTGTAACACAGACTTGTTACGAGAATACGGAGGTTGAAATTTGACACCAGAAGTTCAACTTTTCAATGCGTTAGATGCAGCAGAATTGCACTTGCGTTTGTGCTCATAACTTCGCAACGGAACGAAACAAACAAAAAACCATAGAGCATTTATAGGATTTTCGGTCTATCGCACAAAAATGTATTGCGAATTTGCGTCATAAGGGTCATTTTTTCCAAGCCTGTCACAAAAAGTGCAAATTTCGAAATTTCACTTGATTACCCATAAATAGAACAAACACCTGCTGCACTCACTATTCTAAAATCCTGTATACTTGTAATCAAAATTGCAGTTGGATGCATGCCATAGCCCACTAGAGAACACAAATATTCGGTGTCAATCTATATTATTTCTAGCTGCATGCGACTTCCTGATTGCAGTGACTCACATGGCAACATGGCAGCTTGTGTCAGCAATTACTGTAAGAATGAATGATAATACAGTTTTCAGCCAGTATCAATATCAAGGTTGCACTATATAACCCACACAGGGGCATTAGTACGCAGCATGTCATCATGAATCATGCGCAATTGAAATCAGCTACTAGGCATTTGGTACAAAAATTGGTTCAAAATATTATCTGGTAGCACTTCATGGCTGTATCAAGCCATCAGCACTATTCAGGTCCGATGCTGAAAAACCAAGGAAGGACATTTTGCAAAACCCCACAAGACTCCTGCTGATTGATATACACGGTAATTGGCGAGCTGGAGCGAGCCAGCCTAGTCGTTCGTTCGAGCCGAATTTTTCTATCGTTCCATACGTCGTCCAACTGCGCATGCTCCAGGATTACGCGCTTCTTTTTATCCGAAAGGATTTCAAAATTTTCACATGCTGCCTATTATAGTCTATATAGCGAGACGTCGTGTACAACATATTATACAAGTAAATTAAAAATCCTGCGAATTAAAAAAAAGAGGCATATACGGATGGTATAAAAAGAAAGGGAGACAAGATAGGGATGGGATACATGGAGCATGGTTAATGAACAGATTTGAGTACGCTGACACCCCCAACCCCATCACACAATCCCTATATTGTTGCCTGGTGTGCTACTCTTATAGGGGCTAAAAGCAATCATTCTTTCACCGTGTCCCCGTTGTTTTTAGTTAAACTCCACTTGGACTCTATAAGGGTGTTGGTTACTCAGTAGTGTATTGTAAGTTCTGAGTATTGTAATGGTGAATGTTTAATACTTCACCTAGGCAACAATATAGGATTGTGTGATGGGGTTAGGAGTGTCAGCGTGTTCATTAACCAAGCTTCATCTATCCCATCCCTATCTTGTCTCCCTTTCTTTTTATACCATCCCTATATGCCTCTTTTTTAAATTCGCAGGATTTTTAATTTACTTGCCTCCACTCATTTTTATATACTACTACGTATTATCTCTGTGGAAGGGGGCAAGCCCCTATAAAAATTAATAATAGAGAAAAATGCCTGTTGTCGTCATGCAAATTATCTCCATGTGTGCTGCAAGTTTGAGGAGTGAAGAAGTAATTTTAAAGAAAAGTGCTTGAGGCTTTGTTGTTGTGGTCGTCATGGAAACGATGTAATACAGATGCACACCAAGTTTAACCTCCATGCGTGCTACAGTTAGCAAGTTTGAGGAGTGAAGAAGTAATTTTAAAGAAAAGTTCCTGAGGCTATTTGTTGTTGTGGTCATCATGGAAACGATGTAGTACACATGCGCACCAAATTTAACCTCCATGCGTGCTACAGTTAGCAAGTTTGAGGAGTGAAGAAGTAATTTTAAAGAAAAGTGCCTGAGGCTCTTTGTTGTTGTGGTCGTCATGGAAACGATGCAATACACATGCGCACCAAGTTTCACTTCCATGCGTGCTACAATTAGCAAGTTTGAGCAGTGAAGAAGTGTGTTTTAAATGCCTTTTTCAAACCAAATGCGGTCGTCATGGAAACATGTAATCGTCATGGAAATGATATAATAGGCATAATTACCAAGTTTCTGTGCTACCATTGGAGAGTTTGAGGAGTGAAGAAGTAAATTTAAAGAAAAGTGCCTGAGGCTATTTGTTGTTGTTTACAAACATGTATTGTTGTGATTTTTTATGTTAGTATATGAATACATTATGTCTACAAAGTTTCGTTCACATAGCTCCTACCATTTGTGAGTTATACTGACACATGTGGTGCCATTATATACTGCCTGGGGCTATTTGTTGTTGTTTACAAAGAAATAAGTATGAGCAGTCTCTTTGGGTCATGTATATCTACATTGTTACAAAATTTCATTACTATATGCGACCGTGCACGCAAAAACCAACCTTACGCCGCATTTTTGTGAAGTAGCTTTTTTTGTTTCGTTGTAAAGTTTGAAATGTGCTTGATACAGCGCTTATTTTTGTGGGAAAACCCTTTAAAAGTTACGATTTTTCAAACGCGGGCCACGCGGGGTTATACAAAACGCGAAATAGTCGAATGAAATTTTTCCGTATTCTTGTCTGCGTACGAATATGACGTCACGTTACGGGATTTTTCCAGGGAAATTTTAAGCCAACCAGTGTGAGAGTGCAGTTTGACAGCAGACGAACGCTTCTATCGGCCCTACCGGGCTGAGTAGACTTCAGGCTTCTCTGTGAGGCGATTCAAGGCAGAAGCAACGCTTTGACTTCTGTGCGCCATCTTTGCGTCAGCTGCATGTACCGTCGTGCTGTCACTCTTGTTAGACAGGTCGTTCAATCGTGTTTACAGTGAAAACTCTGGCCCGTGTGTGCTATGGATGCTGGTTCTAGATTCTAAACCAGGACAGCTTAGCCAGCTACGTGACTGTTGAGCCGTCTGCCGGCTCCCGTCTGTCTTGAGCCGTGCACACTAGGCTGCCGTATTTTTGAGCTGGCAAGAGACCACGAATAACAGCTAAAACTAAACCCAACCCATCAATTAGTGGTACGGCGCATGCGTTTACTTACGCGTGCGCGTCACAGTGCACCGAGGGTTTATGTCATTAGTACACTTAGTAATATGACCACAAAAATTCATAGTGGGAAGACAGTCAAAACGGGACAATGCAAATCATTAGTACACACAAGCACGGCATGCGTAGTGAATAATGACCAAAACTGCGCTCTCTTGAAATGGGGGGCGGGCGGTGGACCAGAAACCGGTATACAACTTGGTCCCCGTTTCAGTAGCCCTCCACGGAAAAAGTGAGCACGACGGCAGCCCTGGATATCCTTTCTTAGAGAGGGCTGAATTCATAGTGGAGTCTGTGTACTACATGCATTCTTTAGGCCAGTGCTTTCGTTTGCCGCCTGGATGGGCCATGATCAAAGCTGGACCTCGTCTAGGGCTTGCCACCCGAATGGATCATGATCGGAGCCGGACCTCCTCTAGGGCTAGGGCATAGATTGGTTGAGTCTGTCGGTGCCCTAGCCCTAGCCCTAGAAGAGGTTCGGCTCCTACCACGATCCATCCAAAAATTCAGGAATGTGTCAAAAGAATGCAGGTAGCTATATAGCACACAGTCTCCACTATGACCAAGGGCGTATTGGTCTGACCACTATGTTAGCTCCCCTCGGCAATAACAGAAAATGAAACCTTCGAAGAGACACGGTCCATGGCAAAAATTTACTTATCGGATGTAGGCACTGCAGTGTAGACTTACTGTGGATATCCCTTACTGTACCACTTGTCCTTGTATGGAGGGGTCCCGCCTTCGTCTTCTTCAGGCAGCTGCTCTTTGGGGCAATGCACGAAAGACTGTAGCATCATACTTCACAGATGCGAAATTCACAGTATCTCAGACACTAGGTGCAGACACCAGGTGGCCGTGGGGTCAATGCTTGCACATGCATGTTTGATTCCGTGGTTTCTATAGTGCGTGCACCCAATAATTCATAAGTATCGTGTAGCCGAACGTGCGCGGAAATATCCGGACTTTTCCATCAATCTGATTGGTCAATCCTTCAACTTAGGATAGGCCACGTGTGTACTGCGTACAAAAATAGCAAAATTTGGACATACTACGCTATAGTAGACGTACTATACTACACATAGCGAAAGAGCCTGGCCGGCAAAACGTTTTTCTTTTATTATGGACATTTATGAGTGCACGCACTATAGAAACCACGAAATCAAACATGCATGTGCAAGCATTGACTCCACAGCCATCTGGTGTCTGAACCTAGCGTCTGAGATACTGCGAATTTCGCATCTGTGAAGTACATATGATGCTACAGTCTTTCGTGCATGCCCTTGCGCCAAAGAGCAGCTGCCTGAAGAAGACGAATGCGGGACCCCTCCATACAAGGACAAGTGGTACAGTAAGGGATATCCACAGTAAGTCTACACTGCAGTGCCTACATACGATAAGTAAATTTTTGGCATGGACCGTGTCTCTTCGAAGGTCTCATTTTCTGTTATTGCCGAGGGGAGCTAACATAGTGGTCAGACCAATACGCCCTTGGTCATAGTGGATACTGTGTGCTATATAGACCTGCATCC